CTGGCCGAGCGCGCCAGCCCGGTCCCAGCCGAGCACCCCACCCCCCCCCCCAGCGCTGGCCGAGCACCCCCGGCCTGAGCGGCTCTGGCCCCGGTTCCGACCGAGTGCGCCAGCTCGGCCCCAGCCGAGCACCCCTGGCCGCGGCCCAGGTCGGCTCAGGCCACGGGGCGCCGGCATCGGTTCTGGCCCCGGCCCGGTCACCCCTGGCCCCGGCACCCCCGGCCCAGCTCAGCTCGGGCCCTGGGGTGCCGGCCCCAGCCAAGTGCACCGGCCGAGCACCCCTGGACCTGGCCCCAGCGGCTCCAGCCCGGACCCAAGCCCCTCGACCCCGGCTGGAGCGGGGCCCGATTCCTCGGGGTGGGGCTTGCCGCAAGCCCCACCCCCAGGAATCTGGCCCCACTCTTGCTAAAGACGGTCCTGATCATAACCTTTCCAATGATATCTCACATGCCTTATCTTGCACAAAACACATCTTAGTTATGCCATATTCATGTCATAACAATATCTCTATAAAGGATATGGGGCGTAATGTCACACTGGACTCCCAATTTCAGGTGCCAGCTCTTTCAGTATTCTGGGATGGAAATTATCTGGACTCCCTGATTTGAGCACATTAAACTCTAAGTTTTCCTTCTACTTCAGGTGTGGTAAAGTCTTCTCTAAGAATAATTTTTCAAAGCAAGCACTTGGTAAAATTCATAAGAACAGCCATACTGGGTTAGACCAAAAGTCCATCTAGCCCAGTATCCTGGCTTCCAACAGTGGCCAATGTCAGGTGCCCCAGAGGGAATGAACAGAACAGGTAATCATCAAGTGATCCATCCCGTCACCCTGTCCCAGCTTCTGGCAAACAGAGTGACGCCATTCCTGCCCAGCCTGGCTAATAGCCATTGATGGACCTATCCTCCATGAATTTATCTAGCTATTTTTTGAACCCTGTTATAGTCTTGGCCTTCACAACATCCTCTGGCAAGACGTTCCATGGGTTGACTATGCATGGCATGAAGAAATACTTCCTTTTGTTTGTTTTAAACCTGCTGCCTATTAATTTCATTTGGCAACCCCTAGTTCTTGTGTTATGAGGAGTAAATAACACTTCCATTTCTACTTTCTCCACACCAGTCATGATTTTATAGATCTCTATCATATCCCCCCCGTAGTCATCTCTTTTCCAAGCTCAAAAGTCCCAGTCTTATTAATCTTACCTCATACGGAACCCGTTCCATACCACTAATCATTTTTGTTGCCCTTTTCCGAACATTTTCCAATTCCAATATATCTTTTTTGAGATGGGGCAACCATATCTGCATGCAATATTCAAGATGCGGGCGTAAAATGGATTTATATAGAGGCAATGTGATATTTTCTGTCTTATTATCTATCCCTTTCTTAATGATTCCCAACATTCTGTTCGCTTTTTTGACTGCCACTGCACATTGAGTGGATGGTTTCAGAGAACTATCCACGACTCCAAGATCTCTTTCTTGAGTGGTAATAGCTAATTTAGACCCCATCATTTTATATGTATAGTTGGGATTGTTTTCCAATGTGCATTACTTTGCATTTATCAACATTGAATTTCATCTGCCATTTTGTTGCCCAGTCACCCAGTTTTTGAGAGATCCTTTTGTAGCCTTATGCAGTCTACCTGGGACTTAACTATTATTCACTTCCTGGGACTTCGCTATTATTTCTAACAGTAGTTTCATTTGTTTGGTAGAGCTGGGCATGGGAAGCCTGGGCAGCAAGGAAACTGAAACCATTATTAGTTATCCCCATTTTGGCATGTTCTAGACTGTAGTCCTGTTCTACCTCTATGCAGTGCAAGTTATGATGGAAATAGCTCATCAGGAACATTAGCTGGTATAAAAAGACAGTTCTAAAAAACGACTTCCTAGGAATGCTAAGCAGGTCTTGTGCACTTGTCCCAGGAAAGAGCTATTTTTTTCAAGCATACCTTATAATGTACATATTGCACATTAATGCTCTCAGGGCCTAGTTCTGTGCGCCTTTTAAAAAAAGTTTACATGTGCATACTTGAAGTCTGCATTCGAATTAGCCATCAGATTCCACAAGAAGATTGGCAAATGGCTGCATATTTTGGATGGTGTAAGGGCATGAGACATCAATACACATTCCCGGATACAATTATGTACAATAAAAAAATCCATAAACATGGTATTGGTACCCTTCAAGGGATTGGTAATGGGGGACACAATCTTTCACTTACAGGTTATGTGTCATTACTACGTGATGGGTGACTGTTCAGTGTGCTATAGGAAATGAGTGGGTTGTCTCTTCAGTCCACTAGGAACTGGACTGATATCTACATCACCAAAAAGAAAAAAACAACAACTGTCATTAATTGGCAAGCCTGCTGACAGTCTCAACAGAACCACAAAGATTTGTGAGAATATGGAAACTGAACTATCCTATCACTTGTAGGCAATTCTTCCAGAATAGGGTTGAGACATATTGTCAGGAAAGTAAAGGAGACCTTTATTACCAGTCCCCATATTACAGATGTTCTAGTAGTAAAAGATTCTAGCCTCCAGAATTGTCAAGATGACACCTATCCACACTTTCAAATAAAGGAGGAGGTGATTAAAAGAAAAACAAACCCACATATCTGTCCATGTACGTCTCTAAGCACTGTTTACATCCATGAGAATATTTTTAGTGAGGCACCCACACTAAAATATTTTGCTTTATATTATGTTCTAACTTGGTTATATTAATCTAAAATAAAAACACAAAACAACTCAATACTACTTAATTAGATTCTCCAAGACAAGTTAACCTAAGCCATATGGTATTTTCCCCAGCAGTCACAATATACTGACCTTGATACTAGGAAAATGTGTGCTCTTCGGCTTTAAAAAAAAATGGTGCTATGTGCTGTACTGGCAAAAAGGATGCAGTGAAAGAGTGCTACACATCTTACAGTACAATCCTGAATGGCCTCAGAGAAGTTAGTCAAAAGTAAAATATTCTATTTATTGTTAATAACTGCAATGACAGTGTTTGAACAATGATCTCACTAAAAAGGCTGCCACGCTAGTCGGACATCTGGCCTGTAATCAAACTAAATAAATCTTAACATTAAAATGTTAATAAATTAAATCACTCAAAAGAGGTGATCTGTTCAACCAGATAATGTTGTTATTGTAAGGTGGGAAAGATAGCAGGATCTAACTGCTTTGCTGTTGTAAATTTCATTTGGGAAATATGTCCCTCCCTTCACACAATGTCTTGGGGAGTATTTCCTCTCTATTTCTATATCATAGGTCATTATAATACACATATAAACATCATGTAGTTCATATAAAGAAGAAAGACCCAAGAACCAGAGAAAAATAAGAGCTATAAATAATGCATAGCTGTGTAAATGAATGAGGATGGCTTGAGTCTGGTTTTGACCTTTAGGATAAGTGCAAAATAAGTTCAGATCCTTAGAAGAATCCCAACCTCCCTCCCCTTCTTATGCTTTGCCATCATCCCTTCTTTCTCAGTTTCTCCTTCTCTGTCCTAGGGGGTGACATCTCAGCCTACATCCTCCTCTGTCGTCAACCGAATTCGGTGTCATTAGTTATAGGACTCACTTGCAATGGCTATTTTAAAAGGAAAGTTAAAAAGAGCAAATTCCACACTGAACAGGATTGCGACAGGCAAAATAAGCGGAAGAGCCAGATGCAATTGGGAGAATACAGGCAGAGGATTATGTCACACATATCTTCCCCCTCCGCCCCCCCAAAATCATCCCAACCCTTCTCCTCGGTCGGGTGTCACATTAGTTAGTGAAACTACTGTACAACAATCCAGCTCCAAATTCGGAACAGGAGGAGCGGCTTCCATGCAAGCCACATTCAGCAGTTTCCAACTGAGCAATTGCATCCAAATACCAATCCCGACACAAGACACATCTCCTCTCCCCCTGCACTACGTACACAGGCAAGCAGGAGGGCTTGCAGGGAGAGAGATGGACAATTGTCAGTACTCACACTCAGAATAACGCAAGATGGAAGCAGGGCAGTAACTTCACTGATCAATTCTCACAGGCGCCAGCAAAAATACACCGACTCCCGCTGCAGCTGATCCTGCTGGGTCAACAAGTCCTTCAGTGCCTTCCCCCTCTGGATGCGCTGTGGAGCAGTGAGGGGGGAAGGCGGCTGTTCCGCTGTTTTTGGTTTAAGAAGCAATCAAACCCAGAACTGTCATGCAATAAAACCCTCCCTTCGCTATTGCTGCTAGGCTTCTCTCCAACGCTGCCCCGGCTACTCCCGTCCCCCGCACGCCGCAGGGAACTCCCGGCTGAGGCCGGTCGGCGTGCCCTCAGCTCCAGCCAGCATCCCAGAAGGGAAGAGCACAGGGCAGCAGGACGCTGCTTGCTCCCGCCCGGGGAAAGGGGCAGCGCTGGGCTCTCCCCTGGTTCCAGCCCCGCTTCCCTCGGGAAGCGCCTACAGGCTGCGATTGCAGTGCAAGGCGCTGCGGCTGCAGCCGGCTCCTGCCATCCCCCTCCGCGCGCCTTGCCCTGCCCGGCCTCTCCTCGCCGCCGAGCCCGACACCTGGCCGAGCCCAGCCAGCCAATCACTGCAGAGCGCCAGCCCCTGCTCGGGAAGGGAGGGGGGAAGCAAAAGAGGAACTAAGCCAGGGCGCGCGCGCGCGCGCGCGGACCTGGCCGCCTCTCCCAAGGGAGGGGGGAGATGAGGAGTACAGCGCGCGCTTGAACCACGCGAGCCTGGGGCTGGCGCGCGCGTGATCTAAGCCGTGGCACATGCACTGCAGCGCGCAAGGGGGGCGGGGGAGAGGATGCAATTGCAGTCATCACACGGAAGGAGGTGCGTGCGTGGTGCACAGGGCGCCCCAGGGGACGGAGCTCACACGTGCTGTCATTTCACACAGCCTTGCCCGCACACACGCACACGCCAGAGGGAGGGGGAACTCGAGTTGCCACACTATTTTAAAGTTGCAGTCAAGATTGTGAACGTCGCTCTCCCGCTGCCACCTCCCCATCTCACCCCACTTCTGCAGAACATAATAGAGGGGGTGGGATGTCAATACTAGAATGCATAGAGGAAGCAAAGGAATCTGATAGATTAGATCAAAACTAAACTGATGAATTCTGGTCAGGTGGCAGTCCAACCTGATCAGAAGGGGAGAGCTGGGAGAGGTGAAAATTGGCATGTATTAGAGACCAAACCCAGGAAACACAAGCACTAGGAAAAGGATAGGACCACCAAATCTACCAAGGTAATTAGGCACCTAAATTCCAGTTTTAAGCAACAGCACTTCTGTTCAACTACCGCCTAACCATGGAGGCAACTACATTTACTCAGCACCTAAGTTTCTGCAGTAAATGTTCCCTAAGCATATACATTTCTGCCTCTAAGCATGCATACAGCTGCCTCCCTCTAGGTATCTGGATACTTGCCTCATAGTTAAGCAAACTGAGGGAAGACAGGCCCAGTAGTGCTGGAACAATTTGTACAGTGAGGATGCTGAGAACCCTGTATATGATGGAAACCACTTCAAGCCAGGGGTGCAGCAGCATCCCCAACACTAGCATCTATGTTCAGGCCCGTTGGGTCTGATCAAATAGGCGTGTTCAGAGGCTTCCTATTGGATAGGGTCCCATTCAAAACCAGCCAAAGGAGAAGGTAGTGCTGCTGCTGCTGCCCACCTAATAACTTCGGCCCAGTGATTACAGCACTTACCTGGGTTTTAGGACCTTCACCTTGAATTCCCGCCTCAGAAAGAAAAAGGATTTGAACGGGGGTCACCCATCTTTAAGTCAAGTGCTCTAACCACTGGACTATGTAATATTCTGATGTGGGATTTCCTCTCTCTCTCTCTGTATGTTGAAGCAGTTCCACTGTGGATAAACACTTAAATGGTCATTGAGTCAGAGAAAGAGCAAGAGAGAATAAGATTGTAGCCTGGTGGTTAGGGTACCCACATGGGAGGTGGGAGACCCAGTCCTCCTTTCTCCAATCACTCTATTTTTCCAGAGTACAACAGCTTCAACTGCAGACACTGAGGGAGCCCTACAGCAGAATTCAGAGTAGCAGCCGTGTTAGTCTGTATCCGCAAAAATAACAGGAGTACTTGTGGCACCTTAGAGACTAACACATTTCTTTGAGCATAAGCTTTCGTGGGCTACAGCCCACTGCGCTCAGTGATTAGTACATGCTCCTGAGGAATGTGGGAGACCCCTGTTCAAATCCCTTCTAGCCATCAAAGAGAGGATACTTCAGTCCTAGTATGCCACACCCCAGCGAAGTGCTCTACTCCCTGGGCTAAAAGTTATAAAGGAGGCAGTGGGGTCTGTGTGGAGTGAGGCAGGCACCTAACCCATTCTCACAAAAAACAACTTAGGCTTCTAAGCTGTTTGACTCCAGGAGAAGGTTCCTTTTTGTGGATCACAAGCAGACACAGGTGCCTCCTTCAGGCACACACCCCTCTCCTCAGCATTTCCCATTGGCTAGATTAGGCAGCTCCCTGAGTAGCATGTTGGCTTCTGTGGCTCCCATTCTTAGCCACTTATCCCTCCCCATTCATTGGATAGGGAGCCTATCATGCTTTGTGGATTGTAGTGTTGTTTCTGTGATTTCCTAGATGCCTAAGAGTTAGGTGTTGCAACATTCCGCATCACAAAGCTTAAGTCCCTTTGTGGATTCAGGACAGAGCCTCTGAGTGCCTCTACAGTAGAAAAAAAAATAGTGCCTGTGTTACAGCAATGGCCAGAAACAGTGCAGCACAGGTGTTTACCACCATCATCTCATGAAAACCTGCACAGAGCAGCTTTTCATTACATGATGCTAAAACCCCTTATATTCTTGTTTCTACCGATGCAGCTGCACCATTGGTGACATTTACTGCAACCCAGTTAATAAGTTTTCTAGTATGGACAAGGTTTAGGTGGAAAAAAGGAACAATTTATGCATTTTTTAAAGCGGGATGAGGATGCAATGTGGAAATCTCAAGTAAAATTGTTTGTCACCACATATCTTGAAAACGATCAAGTGAAAACTCAACAGTACATAGCAGAAGAGACAATATGTTCCCAGGCTTGGGAATTATTGTTTACGTCCCAGGAACAGAGAGTTTAAAGAGAAGTATTTCACTAATTACCCTGGGTTTTAGTTAAAAACAATAAATCCTGCATGAATATAAATCAAACTGTCTCTTCTGTTGGTCCTATTATGCCTTTCAAGAGTGATATGGAAATGGGGGCGGGGTGGGGGTGGGGGAGAAAGCAGAAAGTATCTGCTCTCTTTGCCCTGTTGTGAGGCTTTTCCTTTTCTGGTCAGAGCCACTATACATTTTACATGTTTTCCTTCAAAGTCTCACTTTTTAATATTTTCTGTGGCATTTTGACTAGTCAGATAACACCATGTTCCCATTCTTTGCAGTAGAGTGTCTTACAATAGATCCTGCCTTCAGGATGACATGATGAGACAAAAGTGTGCTCTCTGGAGCTGTAGCATTCATATATATTTAGCTTAACAAGATCTGAATTATGAGAAATGAAATTTTCATTTTCTCTCCGGGTAATTGCCTCTGTATCAAGATCAGATCCTGTATTTGTTATAATGGTGCCTCTTTTCTTTCTGGTGTAGTGATCTACAAATTCAACTTGAATATGTCTGTTACAACCATAAGTTACATAAATAGTACTGAAGAATTCTTTGGAAGTATGTGAGAGGTAGGAGAGAGAAGTTTTCAAAATGTTCCTGGCCTGTTTGAGTGTATTTTTGTTATTTACCTTGACAATGTAGGTTATGGAGTTCTGTGCTGTTTATAAAATGGATATGTAATAAATCATACTATCTAATAGGCTACTATGGCAGTAATTACAAGTGTAAACATTAATTTGGACAGCTGTTGATACTACTATGCCTATAAATATTTAAAGGTTTTAAGATATGTAACACACCTTCCTAAAAATGCAAACAATCTTCATATATGTCATAAGCTTTCGTGGACTACAGCCCACTTCTTCGGATGCATATAGAATGGAACATATATTGAGGAGATATATA